TTTTTTTTTTTTTTGCCATTTTCTTAACGCTTTGCTTCTGTCTTGCTTTTTCCCTCCCCTTCTTTTCCCCCCCCACTCCCCTCTCTCTGATCGCGCCTGCTGTCTCTCCTTCCCGGGGTTGTTTGTTCTGGAAAGCTACAGTCTGTGTGACAGCAATGATCTTCCTTTGTGCGAAGCCTACTGGAGACAAGAGCCAGCCGCGTTTTCCCCAGAAGGCCTCTCCATGCCTCTGACAGCTGCCACGGCAGAGCAGAGCACTGCTACTTCTCAGAGCTCAACCCCATCGCACCCTCATGTGAATGGGCACGGGACAGGCCCAACAGAGCACTCCTGAAGATTTGGTGCCTGCTGAATATGCTTATACCAGTGGCACTGAGTTACTGGAGTCTTCCCACTGCTGTACTAAGCTAATGTTTTCACACTGTCAGGATAATATACTGTAGTCTGCATTTGCAAAAGGGCATTTGCTGCTTTTTGCTGGCTATTAACAGTGTTTCTTCACCACCTGGGACACAGCTATGGAAGTGTTCCCACAGGGCATTACACTATAAGGCAGCAATAGGTGACTAGAAAATGGACTGCTATAGTACCTTTTGAGATAAGATTGTCTTGCATTACTGTGTATAGAGCCTATTAGGACCACAGAATTTGTTTCCATTTGAATCTCATGCCAGGAATGTGCTCAGGTGCTATGCATGAATCTAACTACTTGGGTTCTTGGGAATAGGACATTAGAGCTGAAATTGGGAGGCATGTTTACTATATGTTGTTTCTTCCCTGGTAGGTAAGAATCAAGTTAGTCAACGTTTTGGGTGCCCCATGTATCGGTATTCTCTTCCTCTGGGGTGGCACGACATGGCTTCTGCTGCAGTTAGCTAGAACAATAATCGACTTTTATACAGCGTGCTACCTTCGAGGTGCCCCACAAGATTGAATCCTTCAGTTTGGATACAGTTGAGAGAGAGCAACTGAAAATTCCTGGAACCTCCAGGGTAACCCTTTGAAATGTAGGGGGAATCTGAGCCAGAAGCAATGTGACTTACTCAAGACCACGCAGGGAGGCAGTGCTGGAGCCATGGTTAGAAGTAGTATTTCCACCTCCCACCTGGGTGTTCAGACTATGGTCACCCACCAGGGTTTAGTTTGAGCAGCAATGGAGCTAGTTGTTAGGTCCATAGCTAGTTCTGTTTAATAAAGGACGTTGCGGAGAGCTTAGTTATGCTGGGCTGTAAAGGATACCAAATTCTTTGCTTCATCTTAATCTGGGAACTGTTCTGTGCAGTTACCTTCTAAGAAACCTTATGGTGTATAGTCTGCTAGTATCCAGCAGCCCTTGGGCACCAGCCTTCCTGTTTTAGCCATTTAAGCTAATTCTACCTGTGTCATTGAAAATAAGGTATTTGGTTTGGGCTCTGACCATTAGAGCAGTATTTATATAAAAAAAAAAAAAATTTGCAGAACTACGGGTGCACATAAATTCATTTAAACCTAGGTGACTCATTTCAGTATTCTACTGTAACTTCACATTTCACTGTGGATTTTTTTCCTTCCTGTTTTGTAACTAGATAATTGAATAAAACTAACTGTGTTTTGTATAATTTTTAAAGCGTATATTTTCAGTCACAGGATTATGGGTGGTGTGAAAGTCCTACATCGCATGTTTTTGGAAGGTTTCTCAAAATGATCAGAGGAAAACCAAGGCCTTTCAGTTGTTGTTGTATTTGGGCCTATGGAAACTTCCATGCAAAAGGGTGATTGCTGAAGTGGAATTTGCAAACAGATAGGTCTGTGTTGTTCCTCTTAAACTAGTGAGATTATCAATCCTTATACCCTTTCTCAGCTACTTCACCAACTAAGGGTCAGACCTAGTATACCTGTTCTAGTTGCAGCTTTCATTGATGATTCCTGGAACTGTGTCTGACATCTTAATCATCTCCTCTGAAGACCTACAGGACCCTTTCAGTGTTTCACATCTTTGTATGGAAAGAAAGGCTGGGCTTTCCAAAAGAAGCCTAAGGGTTACGCACCTAAGTCCTGGAGAAAGGTACTAACCTTACACCCTTACCCACAACTGAAAATCCCAGACTAAAAGTCACCATTATTATAACAAAGGAAGATTCCTCCTAACACCTACATGCAGTGTTCTCCATATGGATATTGTTTTGTTGCAATGAATCCAGCAAAAAAGTCAAATAAAACTACAAAGCTTTTTGCAGTATGGAAAAGTAAATCATTTAGAACCTAACAATAGCTTTATTTTATTTCCAAAGACAAGTAAAGCTGTACTGCAAGTGTTGCTCTAACTTATCCTTATTGGAAAGCCTCTGTCATGTACACACAAAGAAAAATCCTTTTAGATTCAGTTCTACAAGCTTTACTCAAGCTGATGTGGCATGGAAATCAGTCAGAGTTGTTCTTACTGAAAGAGTAGGCTCTATAGCTTGTAGAAACAAAACCAGATCTAGTTCCCTTAAAAGTAATGAATCAATAGAGCCCAATGTAGGCCGTATGGTACTTTGGTAATAAATGGTAAGCGCGTATTAGTTACTGTGCCCTGCGTTAGATCCATCTCCAAACCACAGATGTGCTTCTTGGATGGACCCAGCGCTAGTCCTTCCTGCACAAATGTGAAGTACTATTGCACCATCTTTCTATTAGAACAGAGGTTCCCAAACTTTTTCTTGGTGCATACCCCCTTCCAGATTTACCAGCTGCTCACATACCCCTACCAGCACATGCTGTATATTTGAACCCCTTAAATGCCAATTATTATAATAAAAATTCAATCCACCGTTACACAATTTCTCCCACGTACCCCCCAGAGATGTCTTGTGTACCCCCAGGGGTATGTGCACCACAGTTTGGAAACCTTTTTTTCTATTAAGGGTTGTTGACTCTTGCCATTTTAGTAGGGAAGTCCATTATATTTACCTGTCTTAGTGCCCCAGCACTTGGTGTCAGGGGATTTCAAGAGACTCATTAAAAAAAAAAAAGTTCTAGCCATCACCTCATGGTTGTAGAGAAAAGCTTGGAAATATGGATCCTGTAAGCCCTAAACATGGAGAAACCCAAAGACAAGTAAATGAAAATGTTTTGAAAACCAATGTAGTTATTTGTGAGTCGCTGAGGTTGGCTGTGCTGTATTGCCTGCACTCTGGAAGCACACACACACAAACTTTCTTCAAAACATTTACAGGACACTTGAAGCCAGGTTAAGGTTATTTGCCCCACTGTCCTATCCAAAATCCTGTTTCTGGAAAATTCCCTGAACAGCTTCAATTGGAGAAGGGACTTTTCTTCATTAATGAGTCTGGCTGCTGTGAGCTGTAAAATAGTGGCTTTGTCCCAGTGAAGAGCTGGGTGAATTTTGGTGGCTGGCAAAATGGGTTTGGGATGTTTGGGGATAACACAGCACCATAGAAATATAGGGGATCGTTCTTGTCTCCAGCAACACCCTGAGACCCAGTCTGCAGGTGTGGGGAATGATTTCCATACAGAGGGGTTTTAAATATTTTGTGGAACATTAACAACTAATAAGGCTGGGAGTATGCTTGAGCAGAGGCAGAGGCCTAGGCTTTGTCCACATAGGAAAACCAGCACGGCTACTGCAAAATCCCTTCTGGTGCGGATTCTCTTCTGGACTAGAGATGTCCGTCTTCCAGAATCATTACACCGTGGAGCGGAGTCAGTTTTCTGAAATAAAAGCAATCTGCCTCCCAGGATGGAGCCTGTCTACCAGGTAATCTAGAATAGCTGATGCGGAAAAGCATAAGAACTGCAGGTATCCAGGTTGTAGCTGTATTGGTCTAGATGCAAAAGGAACCAAAACTCATGGCAGAGGTGATATCTTTTCTTAGACCAACTAGATATTTGCAACAAAAAAAAGTCTTTATTTGCTAAGGGAACCAGAACTCGTGGTAGAGACGATATCTTTTATTAGACCAACTAGATTTTTGCAAAAAAAATTATTTAATTGCAAGCTTTCAGGCACAAGCACCCTTCTCCAGGCATAGAAGAAAAGATTGTAAAAATTCTCCTGGGTAGAAATGAAAATCCATATTTCATAGGAGAGCTGAAGGTGTAGTAAAATCCCCTGTTTGGAAAAGTTCATTTTATATGCAGATTAGGCTCAGACAAAAGTTGGGAGCCTGTTTACCTCCAAGTTGTTTGGTGGTAAGCAGGATGTAGTCCTATTCCCTTGAGTTATTTTAGGCATATTTATTTGCAAACAACATTTTTTTTTTTTTTTTGCAAACGCCTATTTGGTCTAACACACCTCTGCCACGAGTTTTGATTCCTAACAACTGCAGGGCAACTTGCAGACGAAACCACAGAGGTGTCCAAGTGAGCAAAATCCATCCTTGCAGGCGGTACGCCGCGGAGAAAGCTACATGTGCCCTTGGGTTGGTCTAATAAAAGATATCAGATTCACCCAAGGAACCTCGTCTACATCTGCCCTTCACACACACAATCCGAGTGCTGCAAATGGCCCTAAGTGCTGGAGGCTGCAAGGGCGAGAGAGGCAGGGGAAGAGCCAGCTCCTTCCAGCACCCGCTGTGTCCCTGGGGGACACGGGACCAGCCTGGTCCTGGGCACTTGCAGCCTCCACGGCGAGTCTCATGCAGATCCAGCCGAGGAGGATCCCAATCGGTTTGCCACAGTAGCAAAGGAGTGAAATGCTCGGGGAGGGGAGGGGAGGTGGGGACGCGCTCATGCACCGACTCAGCCGGCAGCTCCTCCATCTCCGGCCCACAATCCCTAGCATTTCCCCTCCCCTTGCAGGCTCCGCCAATGCAGAGCAGGGCCAGGAGGTTAGCCCTGCCTGCCCGGCCATGCAGGTTCCTGCCCGGCGCGGGCCATGCGGGGAGCGGGTAGGGCTGCGGGTTGGGGCAGGGAGGGC